TTTGTGGGGGGGGGGGGGAGGGGAAACTCTTCCATCTAACTGGATTAAGCTGTAAATTAATTATTGTAGTAGTAGGAAGTGAGACACCTGCTCTTTCCTTTCCACCCTATTTTATGACCTCTTTTCTGCAGCTGTGACACGCGTTTTGGGGAACAAGAAAGGGATATTTACTCGTCAACGGCAACCTAAGCCAGCTGCGTTTGTTCTCAGAGACAGATACTGGAAGCTTGCAAATGAATCAAGTTGTCTTCCTCGTACAGTGCAGTATTATAACCTATGATGTTTGGGAGTAGAGCTCAACATTTTCAATAAATAACAGTTACATTATACTACTGTTTCTACTTGTTTCTTCAACAAAATACAAAACAAGGCAGAACAGGGACACTTAGTTTCCGTGCTTATCTAATGGGAGATAAGTACCTTGCATTTTAGAATTCTGAAGAGCTAATACTTAAGACTCCAGATGAATGCACTCATCCCCCATTCAAAGGGCATCATCTTTAGGTAGTTATACTCTTAAGAGGATGTAACGTGGTGGCATAATCCACAAAAGTGGGTTATCTTTTGCACCAGGCATGTGGTCTGTAAACTAGAGTTCTGTTTGCAAATATGCTTAGGAGCAGAGCATGGAGCTCAATTTAGTCTTTCCAGCATTAATTTATTAGCGACCTCAGCGCTCTGTTAACACCAACCTGAAATGCAAAGGCCATAGCTCCCTCTACAGTGGTTGAAACTGCATGCACAGATTACCTTCTAGCATCATGATTTAGTCATAAGGAGCCTTACTGGACAGATACCAAGCCAGTTCCTGAGGAAGCCAGAGATGAGGGCAAGTCTAGGATTAAGTTATTTGATAGTCTACATACATCAAAGCTAGTACAGTGGATAATGGCAAACACCCAAACAGACTACACAGCACCACTTTTGCCAGCCCCATGTTCATAAGCTGGGTGTCAGATGGTAGGTGATGTATAGGGACACGGATGGCCATGAACTGCAATACACACTGCCATCAGACCAGAACGAAACACGGTACTAACTAGAATCCTTTTGTCTGCAACCTCCTCTTCTGCTCATTCCCTGAGAAAAAGCAAGTTTTCTCCCTGTAAAAGAAAGGGGCCACCATAATCACATGTGGTGGCAAGAGCTGTTTCCACTAGGTCGTGACATTAGAAGCCAAGGGGAGGTCTCTATGCCGTGGGACATCATAAAGGAAATGTACACTTACTACAGACTTGAGAACAATTGTCCTTTAGTTTCCAACAGGAAAAGAAGAAGAAAAAGAAAACTTGATAATTCTTCTTTACATTGTATTAAGGTTACAGATTTCCTAGTTAACTAAAACCCCAGAATATAAAACGTTTACCCATGTTAAAAAGCAAACACTCAAGTGTTATCTGGTACATCAGCAAATACCATATTTAATCCCATTACCAGAGTTTGAAAGTCATTTAATCTTCACGCTTTCTAAACTTTAATTTGAACGTTTCCTTCCCCATTTCAACACTGACAGAATGACATACCAACAGCTGCCACATCAAGATAACAGATACAAATTTGACATGGTTAACGCATTACACACTAGGACTCCAATCCCTACAAATATGCACAGGACTTGCAATTTCAGTCGAGAAAGCTACACTTTTGTTCAGTCCAACAAGATGGATGCAAAAGTTTAATATCCATTTGTATGGTAAGCACGCATTTTCAAGGAGAGTCTTAGTTCCTGCTTAAGTTCTTAGCAGCTCAGTGCAATTTTAACCAAAAAAGAAAACATTCAGCATGTTAAGAATACTGTGATGTTGTCAGAGTGGAGTTAAAGCAGGTCTAAAAGCCTAAGAAAAGCAGGAAGTGACCAAAGTAACATGGCTAGGAACATTTTTGCATGTTGCTTGAAGAATTGTAAACAGTAAAGCCTCAGGTCAATGCTGCTCCACCTTTATACACCCAGGTGCACACAACATTCAGCAATACACAATGAAGCTGCAGAAACTGTATGAATTAGTATCTCTGGGGACTCAGTGCTTCAACCCATCTACTGCTAACATACATTTTTCTTTTGAAAAGAAAAAAGAACACAAAAATCGCAACTTAGTACATTTCTAGAAACAAGATTACAGAACAGGCTTTAAAAACAGATTCTAAGGCTCAGACTGAGTCCAAAAAGGCCTCTGATTGGGTTCATTCAAGCTCTTTGAACTGCACTACTGCAGCGTAAGAATGATCGCAGCAAGACGTCCACAGGTAATTTCTACATTTATTTTTTTTTATACCAAAAAGTTATGTGCAACAAATAAACATTCTTACATATTTACATTGGTTTTTACCTGTTAGCAAAATTGTTTCCTAAACCTTGGATGTAGAATTCTCACCCTATACTGATAAAAGGAACATCTGCCCAAGGACTCCACTTTAAAATGGATGTTTACTCTGGAGTTGAAAGCACTAGTAATAAATATGATGGAACATACTATACAGAACGAACACCTAATATTTAGGCCATGCTTAACACAGGTTTACGGTAACAGAATACTTCACCTTTTCTGGACCAGCTTTGTCTAGGTCATATTTAAACAACATTGGCTGAACTGAAGTTTTATCAGATTTGTACTTGTTTAGTCCATACAAATTAAGAGCCACAAGTGCTGCCTGAAGCACCTAACCAGCCTTTTTTTTTGACCAATCAAGACCTTATCAGAAACTTTACAGCAGAAGACGAGCACGACAGCACATGGAAGTTTCTCACCTCCCATATCTAAGGTGGGGAATGTTTCATTGGCCTCAGAGTAGCAAATATCTTACAGTAAGAAGTTCTTAGGAATGTTCATTTCCTGAACAAGTCTTGGATTTGTCTCTCTCCCTTATTAAAACCACTCCTCACCTCAAAACTGGAAGTGGCAGGAGTCCAAATTTTGGACCTTTTTCTGCGTGCTTTGGAAACAAAGCTTTTAATTTAAAGCTTCACAAGTGCTGAAGCCACAGTTCAGATCCAGGCCCCTTCCCACTCCCTCCAGGACGGGATGCTCTTTACTGGCACACAGCCTTTATTATACCCCAAGGTTTTCAGGAAAGCTCACCAGAAGCTACATTTCCTTTAAGAAAGGTCAAATTAGCACCCCTTAGTACATTTGGCATGACATGCTCCTTCTGCTTGGGGTGGGCCTACATGAAGTAGTACGATTTCTGGCACATTGCTAATTAACCTGAGCTGTTTTACCAGTAGAAAACTGCCATTTCTACACTGACAGCAGTGAGGAGAGAGGTCAAGTATTGGAAGCAAAAGGGTCCAAATTTCTACCACTAACCTAATTATTTTGCCCTTTGTTCACACAAAATGCATATTCTCTAGCGCAAAAGGGAAACAAGAAGAGGGGTCATTTCTTGCAAAAGTCACTCCCATTCTGGTCTGAAATATAAAGTAACGCAGAGAGACACACAAGACAAAAGAGAGGGTTTACAATTTAGGGTCAGATTTGCAAAAGCAGGCACAAGATTTCTAGCTGCAAGTTTCCGGAGACCAAACCCGATTTGCATTTGGTTCCCTACGTGTGCGCACACAAGCTACAGGTGTGACTTTTGAAAATCTGGCCCTAGACTATTTTGCTAAACGAACTTTGAAGTAACAGACTATGCCCACACAGACAAGCACAAGACACAGTGAAGTTAGTCAACACCTATACTTTCAGTCATTTGTTTTTTAATTAAGCCTGCAATCAGACCAAATAATCATTGATTATACTTGTCTCCACTGCTGCTTTTTCTGAGATATTAGCACTGTGACTAACCATTTCAGGCAGCACATGTTCACCTCTTCCCTGGATGAAAAGATGCCTTGCTATAGCAGATCATAGGAATGTATCAAAATAAATCTATACAATACATTAGACAGTGGTGCTACCCCCAGGCTTGAGCACAGAGAGGGTAAAGCCTCGAGGGACCCAATTTAACATTGATCACATCCCCTCACATCAAAGTTCAAGGCATTTGAGAGAGAACTTAACATCAAGACAAGCTTTAACTGTACTCTGGTCGATACTAAACACATTTAATAAACAGTCATTCAGAATTGTTAGACAAAAGGGACAAGGTTTTTGCTTTTTAGTGTTATCAGCGAGAGACGTTACTCATAGCACAGAGCTCTGTACACAAGGAATTTCCACCTACATCCTGCATAGAAAGTTAACTCAGTAGTAGTTTTAAGTTCTGCGTGAATTTATCCCGTTTTCCACTGTCACTATTAAAACCAGAAGTTTCACACCAAATTTATCGCCTTTTTCAGCTTCTTAGTGTTTATAATCCATGTTTGCAGTTCTACATACAAAAGTGTCCCATAAAGTAAACTTGGATTGACCCAAATCTCTTAAGGAAGGAATCAGGCGTTTAAATTGTTCAGATATAGAAGCTGTTTGACATCAGGGCAGCAAAAGCACAACATTAATTTGACTAGATCCCCAATCTCCAGGTTTTGGAGATAAAGTTAGAAATTTCAGCATTTTTAACTTAATTTGCAGTTAAAAAAAAAATCAGATTACTTCCCCCAACATTGTAACACATCAACTTAAGCGAACAGGAACCAATAATATTGCTACCACTTCTCAGTCTAAGGGCTAAAATAGACCGTTAAATATTCTTTCACATACCATAAGGTTTGTGGGAGGTTTTCGTTTGTTTTTTTTTTTTTTTTAAAAAGCAAGGACACTTCTGCCTGCCAAGTTTAACACACAAACTATTTGGTTTAATATTTTAAGACAGAAGGCACTTTTATCATTCCATTCTAGGATAGCGAGTGTAGAAACATCTTTTGCGATTTTGTTTCCATCGGTTCAGATTTGCAGTTTAAAAAATTAAAACGTTTGTGTTTTGTTTTGTTTTTGAAAGAGCAATGAAAGAGCCGTTTCAGTCTCAAGAGCACATTTACCTACTTACCCCGCTTTACAGATAAGGCCCCTTAGAAGGGCAATACGTGTCAGTCCTAAAGTTCATTTCTAAATATAGCACAAACCAAAGATCCTGGACAAGATCAACCAAGTGTCTGCTTGTTCAGAGTATTACTTGGCTAATCCAGTAGGTCACCAGTCCACTACAAATTGCAATTTCATTATGCAGCTCTCAGCATAATGCCAGATTAATATTGGTAACACTGTTTGGCTTTAACACTTGTTTAAAACTAAAATGCAGATCAGAATAAAAATTCAACTATTTTAAGAGATCTCTCCAATTTCAGCATCTCACCCCTCCCACCCCCTTGCATTAATATCCAACGGCAGGTTATTATAGAGCATGCATAATAGCCATCGCAACTCCATTTTCACTAATGGGGACCAAAAAAGGGACCAAAAAACTGAACGTCCACTTCTGTTGCTGCACTCACTACTACTACCATTTCTCATAAGATGTTTTCTACATTGGCTTAATCCTGCCATTATTCCAATCAACTATAAAGTTGAATATTCTCCAAGTTGCTATGCTAACAAACCTGACTGTACAATGACAGTTTTGCAGGGATGGTTCCAATATTTCTAGTTTTATTTACAGTACAATTGTTCTAGTCAAATGTCTGTGTCAAGTCCATCAGCTAAAAATGTAATAATGCACATACTGTAAACATGGCAACATTAAATACAGTACCTCTATTCTAGAATATTTAAGTGTCATGATCACATCTTGTTATATCTGAAACTGAATTTATACACAAAGGATATTCTTCTACCAAGTGTAACCCACTTTACAAGTGGAGGGGGTGGAAAATCTACATTTTGTGGCTAAGAAACTTCCTCAAAGTAAAGTTAAAGCTTGTCTTTGATTGTATTTGAGCTTTCGTGTTTTGCAACCATCTTTAAATTGAAGATTAGCACAGAAATTATCTAGGGCCCCTTCCAATTTACAGTAATTAAAAAACTCAGTTATGATTCTGTGGTGGGGAGGGGGAAGTGTCTGATATGAATAAAAAATTACTGCAAAATAAACTTAATGGAAGTCAGGTCTTCAGACTGTCAGTCAAAAGTTCAAACAAGTGTTATTCCTGTTTAGGTTGGAGTTGCCGTTTCCAGGCCTCATTCAAGTAAACTAGTCGTTTGTAGTTGATGATAAAGAGAATGAAGTTCAGCAAATATGTGATGACGCAGACAATGCAAAATTCCTTCAGAACGAAGTACAGAATGTATGCCAAGTATAAAGACCCTACTACAGACACTATGGAGGATGTCATGAGGATTAGAGCTGCTACTGCACTTGCTGTCATACCTGAAACAAGAGAGAAAAAGTTACTATTGCTATTTTAATGCCCTCATTGCATAATCAAAAACAGACAAACTGGAGAAGGATCCTAACTTAACTCCATTCCATTGGGAAAGCTTGTATTAACAATACAGCTCTTTTTAAAATGCCACACAAGTCCAAGCTGGCTGACAAAGCTGTGTATGGACAGTCCTCTTTTGATAAGGTGTGCATATAGGATTTCCACCATCGTGAGTATACCTGAAAGGTCGAGCCAAGTAAAGTCTATGAACAGTCTCAATGGTTTTATAGCAGATTATAGGGTTCAGTTAGCTCAACTGGCCTATTTCACTAGTCACACAATTAAATCCCACCTACTTGTTTGCCTGTTAGCCAGAGTATTCTACGCAACTCTCACAAATCCAGTTTTGATTCTCTCCTTTGTAGAGAGTAACCCAATCTTAGAAGAGAATAAGTGAAAGCCCAAATGCAGCCACTGTTCCCAATGCTTACACAGTGAATGGAATAGCCAGAGTGCTAAAAGTGAGAAAGGCAACTCTTGGCTGTGCATGTAGCTGAATCACTACACTGGCATTAAACGAATTTGAACCAGCGCAAGCTTAGCTTTCTTTCAGGTTTACTGCTGCCAAAAATAATGCCATATTTTGCTAACACAAAGTGGCACCATCTCATGCACTTTAGGGTGTAACCAAAGTAAATACTTACCAAGTAACAATTGTAGTATATAAAATAAAAGTCCATAGACACTGTTTGGCTGATTTATTGCACTGTCCTTTCCAAAGATGGAACCCAACAGACCAAATCCTCGACCCCATCTGCAAGATAACAAAAACCAATAATCTTATATTTGAGCACTTGCTTTTTCACACCTCAAATTTCAGTTCGTCAGCACAAAAGGTAGATCTGGCAGGACCACAGCTTTCCCAGTACACAGTTTAGGTCGCTCCTTAACAACTAAACAGTCTGCACTTGCTAGATAAAAAGATGCCCTATGCATTCCTG